GAAGGGATGATGAGAAAATATGATGAAAGAGGAAAGTAGTCTTTGCCCTCTAGCTCTCCCATTCTCTAATATCATCTTCAGCCCACAACTAAGTGTTGACTTAGCCATCGGAGTGACCTCGCCCGGTAAATACCACCAGGTTCTCTGATTCAGTTCTTGTAGATCAACCAGGTCCGCCGTCTACAAAGATGAGCAAATCATCTCCTGCAGGGAGCAGCCGGGTTGCGCTACACCAGGGAGCTCCACTTCAACCTCTGAGTCATCGGCCACCTGGGAGCAGACCAAATGACGAGGTACTTAGCAAATAAAAATGATACGTGACTAGAATCCATTACATCATTTGGTGCTGTCTGTGGAAAATGCTACAAAAAGCTAAGTTCTCATCCTACAAAATGCTAAGTCCTCTTCTCCCAGAAAGCTAAGTCCTCACTTTTTAGAAACTGAAGCTCTCGCTTTATAGTTCCCATTTTTTATGAGCTCAAAGACTATGCAGGGAGTTAACAGACTAAGCAGCTCTACCAACTTTACTTTCAATTCAGATAAAACCTAAAGTTAGTAGTGCCGCCCCCGAAGGTCRAGCTCCTAATAGCTTCTTGTAGGAGTGGGTGACTGGCATTATGAGGCTGATGCAGCGCAATCATAGCTCTAAGGCGTGACCTACGCACGGCCTGGCGTGGCCTGACGACCTGCGCACAGCCTGACGCGTCCTGGTGGCTTGGTAGCCTGGCACATGCGCCGACCTGGCGGCCTGGCCCAGGCGCGAACTGACGAACTGATAAAAGACTTCCTCATCACTTAAGACCCAGTCGCCTCTTCGGCATGGGCGAGCTAAGTCCCAGTCGCCTCTTCGGCATGGGCGAGCTAAGTCCCAGTCGCCTCTTCGGCATGGGCACCTAAGACCCAGTCGCCTCTTCGGCATGGGTGAGCTAGTCCTAGTCGCCTCCTCGGCATGGGCACTTAAGATCAAGTCGCCTCTTTGGCATGGGTGAACTAGTCCCAGTCGCCTCCTCGGCATGGGCACTTAAGATCCAGTCGCCTCTTCAGCATGGGCGAGCTAAGTCCCAGTCGCCTCTTCGGCATGGGCACCTAAGACCCAATCGCCTCTTCGGCATGGGCAAGCTAAGTCCCAGTCGCCTCTTCGGCATGGGCACTTAAGACCCAGTCGCCTCTTCGGCATGGGCGAGCAAGTCCTAGTCGCCTGCTTGGCATGGACACTTAAGACCCAGCCGCCTCTTCGGCATGGGCGAGTAAGTCCCAATCGCCTCCTTGGCATGGACACTTAAGACCCAGTCGCCTCTTCGGCATGGGCGAGCTAGTCCTAGTCGCACCCTTGGCATGGACACTTAAGACACAACCACCTCTTCGGCATGGACAAAATCAACAAAAGTAGACTATAAGTTGCCCCCAGAGCCTAAGGGCTACGGTACCGAACTGGCAGAGAACTCGGCACCTTACGGGCAGCTCGCTTCCAAGCAGCTCCCAGAGCCTAAGAAACTGAATCAGTGCTTACGAGCACGTCGAATTACGGGCCAAAAGGAGAAATTTACTCCCTTTGCCAAGTTACTTTCAGCTCGGGAGTGGGGGGCAAATGATGAGAGCGGATTTGGCCCTCCAATGACATTGTGACACCTGACACTTCCAGACAGCCCGCCACTTCACAGGCAGCTTGCCACAGGTAGCTCGCCACTTATAGGTAGCTCGTCATAGGCAGCTCGCAACAGGCAGCTCGACACTTACATGCAGCTCGCCACCCAAACAACTCAGCACTTACAGACAACTCGCCACTAAGCAGCTCGCCACCATGTAGCACTTACAGGTAGCTCGCCACTAGGCAGCTCGCCACCAAGCAGCTCGGCTCCTCACAAGCAGCTCGCCACCAGGCAGCTCTCTACCAAGCAGCTCGGCACCTCACATGCAGCCCGCCACTAGGCAGCTCGCCACCAAGCAGCTTGGCACTCACAGACAGCTCGCTTCCAAGTCAGACCGACCACCGCTTGACAACCCCGAGGAGCTCACCACCGTACCCCGCATTTTACGGGATTATGACTTGTAACGGCTATATTAGCTCACCCATTCCCTGATTTAGGCGGAAATGGGCAACTTTATCGGTTGGTGGCTTTATCCCCACCTAACACGAAAACATGTCCCATAACAGCGGGAATCTAGGAATTGCTCCACCAAACCCACGAGGACTCCAGTAAATAAAGGCCTCACCCCCCAGGGGTGAGGAGAGGAGAAAAAATGATGAAAGAGGAAAGTAGTCTCTGCCCTCTAGCTCTCCTATTCTCTAATATCATCTTCAACCCACAACTAAGTGCTGACTTAGCCATCGGAGTGACCTCGCCGGGTAAACACCCCCGGGTTCTCTGGTTCAGTTCTTGTAGATCAACCAACCGTCTACAAAGATGAGCAGATCATCTCCTGCAGGGAGCAGCTGGGTTGTGCTACACCAGGGAGCTCCACTTCAGCCTCTGAGTCATCGGTCACCTGGGAGCAGACCAAATGACAAGGTACTTAGCCAAAAAAAAATGATACGTGACCAGAAACGGGTACATCACATGGGATTGCAAATTAACAATTGTAACGATGAAGGTATTTATTTCTGGTTAGAGGAATGTAAGAGAATTGATAACATTGTTGAAGAGGGGTCTGATCTCTCCTTATTAGCTAGAGGCACTATTCTAATGTGATATATTTGGAAGGCTAGATGTCAAACCTATTTTAATGGGAAGTCATTCACTCTTTTTGTTGTTCTTATTCCCTATAATGCCCATCATGGAGACATTACAAATTTGTGTGGAAGAAGTTGGATAACCCAGTCAGGAAACTTGGGCTTTGCATCTCATTCATCTCTTCAAACTACCTCAACAGTTTGGATCAAGCCTCCTCATCTACACATCAAAATCAATACAGATGGTACATGGACTCCCTCAAAAGCTGCAGTTGATGTTATTGCTGGAGATGAATTTGGATCTTTACTAGTAGCTAGAGCCTTGATGGTGACATGTTCTTCTCCTGATGAATATGAATTCAGAGCAATTCTAGAGGGTCTCCATGAACCAGATTATCATAGAGAGTGATGCAGAGATTGCTATCCA